CAGAAGTTATCTCTTAAAAACAACAATGGACCCTGTATCATTTTTAAGGCAATTATTTAGGTTAGAGTCATTCACAAATAACAGCAAACAAACAATGAATATCACAAGTACAAGAATGAAACTAGTAAGTTCTCAAGCAAAGAAAAATTTTTAAAGTCAATATCTGAAAAGGGAGAGAATTGCCAATAATTAGAACGAAATAAAGAAGATGTAAAGACAACTTAACACACAGAATGTTAGACAGAACTAGAGAGAACAGGAACTTTCAGACCGTAAAATATTTTATATAATAAATATTTTAAGTCATCCTTTGTTCATTTGATCTCTGTATTTTTTCCGGTATGTCTTTTCTTGTATTGATTATAATATATAGCGAAAATGTATGCACGGAAAAATAGACCAGCGGATTTAATATGCAGATACATGTCATAGAACTAGATCCAAGATAACCTTAATAATAAATATGTGGGGTCCAGTTATATGGAGGAAAGAGCAAATAAGTATAATCTTAAGGTAAAAGATTGGAATCGGACGGATTATAATTTATAAAATAAACAAGAATATCGTACCGTATTATTTCCCTTTTTTTTTTCGTCAATTTAAAAGGTGATTTTGACTCGCAATTTTTTAACTATTGACTCCTACGCGACTTATTTCATTACGGTTTCCATGTGTATCCAGTTCTTCTCCATTCTCGAAGCATTGACGCGTCACTCACTTCTCTGTTGGAAACGTACGTTGCGGCGATATGGGTTTTTTCTGCTTTCAGCTCGCAACAACTCGAAGCCCTTCCCTCGAGAAGCGTAGGCCTGTGGGAAGGCTTTCTGTCGAGATTTGGAGGAGTGCTATTTTTCCTGTTCTCTTTCTTTCTATTTAGTGACCTTTGTTTGTTTCTCATTCACTACTTTCTCCCCTGATGTCCTTTGTGCATATTTGGATGGCTAGCAGCAGTTCCAATGCAGGATCTGTTTTTGGTATTTAAGAAAGTGAAAATGAGATGGTTAGGAACGTTTATTTTGGTTAAATTTGGCTGGCTATTTGTTTTCACTGCACTCAAATCATCTGAAATGATACTGGCAGGAGATGGATTCTTCTAACGCTGCTATAATAAAACAACTCAAAGTATCAAATTTTTAATGAGTTTAGATGTATGCAGAGCTTTAGATTGTGGTTCTGTATAATTTGCTAATGTGACTATGGTTTTGTGCTTTTAACAGGCAGCAAAGCCATTTTTTCTTAATGGCAAGCGGCAATGTGATTGAATCTGAGGAACGACATTCTCCTATATTATTGTGAGCAACCTCATAGGCCATTCATGCTAAAGTAGGTTGGTAGTGCTACTTTAGATTTGGTTAGAGAGGAACTGGTATTACAGAATGGTTTTACTTGCTTGGTTCAATTTAGGAAATATATGAATAATTATGATATACATTTTTGCCTTTCTTTTCGTAATTGTTTTTTATTTTTTATTTTTGTTAAATTTCTTTGTTTATTTACTGTATTAATCTTATCATAGCTCTGCGAATCATTTAATTGTTTTCTTATCCTGTAGATTGTTGTTTGCACATTGGTTTTTAAGTTCAAGCTTTGATAAAAAGCAAATAAGAAACATCCTCGAAAGTCATTTTCGTGGGTCCAGGGATGAGTGAAGGCTTGAAAGGTGGTGTTTCTCTTTCTTTTAGGCATAGGAGTGCAAAATAGTTTTAGGTTGCGAAATTTAATTCTCAATGCAAATTCATAATATTAAAAGATAAAAGGCTTTCATGATAATTAGTAAGACCGAATGCAAAGTAAGTGGAACATAAGAGTTGATTCAACATTTGACGGCTTTTTTATTTATTTATTTTTTATGTGGTGGAGTTTCTATAGGATCTCAAGATAAAATCCCTATACACAAAAAGAAATCAAGTGTGCATGAGCAAAGAGCAATTATGGTAGCTGACTGAATGCTATTTCAGCTTTATATATATATTTTGCGAAACTAAGTTTTCAGTTGAAGTTAAATTGAATGAAAACTCATTTCTATCAAGGAGGAATGTCAGAATATTGTTAGTTATAGGTTTGCGCGATGTGTGCCCTTGTAGTTCATGTGCGTAATTAATGTGGCTGGATATATTCAATAACAAATTAAGCAATATTAGGCTTGTTGGCAGTCATTTAACTGAAATGATTTAATAATATTGAATGAAAGATGTTATTGAGTTGAATTCCAAGAATAGGTACTAATGCAGGGGAAAAAATATAGGACAATTAACTCTCAAAGAATTAGGGGCAGAATAGGGATGGTTTTTGGTTGGAACAAATAACATAATCGAGTTCAATAGAAACCCTTAAGAATTAAAATTCCTGGAATTCATAGATAAAAAACAAATTAGCTAAATTGCTGCTGTTCCTATTTGTTATGAGTTGTAACAAATCCTAATTCTATACTGAAAAAATATTCCTAATTAGTTTATTGTCCTAAGACTGAATAATTCATTCCCTATTTAGCTAAATTCTAAGTAAAAACTGAAAAATTATTCCTTATAACTAAAATTCTTAAATTAAATTAATTCTATAATAAAGAAGGAAATTCTAGAAGAAAACTTCTGAACTGTCTTGGATGCTCCTGCATCATTCTCTCAGTTTGAAGGAACTCAACTTCGATCGAGAAAACGCGAGAGCTGCTGGAGTGTATTTGTGTAACTTCTCCTTGATTCCTGGCTTGTTTTGGGGCTAACTTACCACTCAAAGATCCGTTCAGAATAATACCAATCATTTTTTGAGCAAGGAAAGCGGTTAACAAAAAGGAAAATTTTTTCGTAGTTTGCACTAAAGCCTTCTTGCTTGAGATAGTATTTAATTACAAATAAAGGACTACTTGCTATCAAACAATTACTGACTTTTGACAGTTATTTAATGCTATCAACATCCCAGGAACAAAATACTTTTTGAAATTTTCTTACCTTTGTTTTTTCTCCACTTCACAATGTTCCATCTTTGTTCTTGTTCGTTCTATTTTAGGTTGATGAAAAGAACCTGGCTGAGTGACAGTAATTTTCTCCTTGGGTTAGAAACTAGGTCAATTTCTTGGCTCGCTTCATTCATGACATCAATATCTCATTCAATAGAGGTCTGGGTCTCACACACTAATGGTCCTATCAGTATGCTCCTTCACTGTTTTATGCACAATCAAATATGAAAACTTACTTTCTTCGTCTTTCCCAGCTCATCTTCTATAGGTTTCTAAATTACAAATCAAACACAATGTTGTTAATCCCTCAACTAATAGTCTGCTGCATGTAACTCTCCATGAATGATCAGCTACTTTCAATCTCATCCCTTCACCATTCAAGAATCAAGGGCGTTTAGTGACACTCTTTTCAATCCCATCGTGCCGCTCGATTTGCCGGGTCCAGCTTCATGAAAAGGGTTTACATCCTTGGACTTCATCATCTTCAAGACTCCTCATTGAACCTTGAGTTGTTTGTAGGTTGCCTACCCGGAATCTCCAATTCCGAGCTCATGTGGTTCTGACACTGGCAAGGCTTGTCGGGTCAAATCCTCAATCATTATCAGCAATAGCTACAGCCATCTCTGTTTGTTGGGCAAATGATTACCTCTACTATCGAATCTCTCCCTCTACCCAAACATGGTTTATAATAGAACAACGAAAAAAAAATCCTGCAGCAATTCAGGATCCTTTTTGTGCCCTGATACTCTAACCGCAGGGGAAAAAATATAGGGCCAATACTCTTAAACAAATTAGGGTTTATAGAAAGGATTGTTATTTTGGTTGGAAGATCAAATAACTTATAATCGTGGTTAATCAAAGAAACCCTTAGAAATTAAAATTCTGAAATTCATAGATAAAAAATCAAAGTAGCTAAAACCTAAATTGCTGCTGTCGCTATTTTGTGATTAGTTTAGGACAAATCCTAATTCTATATGCGAAAAATATTCTAAATGTAGTTTATTGTCCTGCTGAATAATATTCTATTTAGCTAATCCTGGAAGAATAATATTCCTATTTAGCTAAATCCTAAGTAAAGCTGAAAAATTATTCCTAATTAATTAACATTCTTTAATTTAATTAAGAATTCTAAATAAAGAAGGAAACTAAAAGAAAACTTCTGAACTAGTCTTGGATGCTCTTGCATCAGGTACTTCAGCATATCTTTTTCCATTTAGAAAATGGTGGTTCACATGGAGCAGAAATTGATATTCAAATGGTCTCGTAATTACAGCTTTTATCATTGTTATTGAATAGGAAACTCAAATTTGAGTCTAGAGAAATGTTTTTTGACATTATGATGGTTCATGCTTTTCTTCACATTTACTATTTTTCTTCTATGGTTATACCTTCTGATACACCGATGATTAGAACAATGTAAACCTAATGTATGTTAACTAGACACGGGCTTCTTGGTAACTTTGTTACTTAAAAAGTTCTGCATTTTCTATCCAGTATTGTGCTATGGCTACTTCTTTTGACAATAAGATTTTCCTTAACGAGTCCAGGTTGCAGAAACTTTGATGATAAGTGTTACCTTTTCCATTTTTGGTGGCAGATTCTTGAGAAGGTTAAAATAGCGTATGACATCCCTATTATTACTGATGTGCACGAAACTATCCAGGTAGTCAATTCTTCTGGGTTGATATTTCTTGAGTTCCTTATCTATTGTGGCCATCTTGTTTTTATGTCATTTTCTTTTTGTTGATCCATAGAAGGAAAGTTTATGAATGATGCAAAAGCTGTTATTTCTTGCTATTCTTGTGAAGATGGAGCTTATGCATTTTAATTATCTTCTAAAGGGGAAAAAGAGAAGCAATCTATGAAATTTACAAAAGCCAAATTGTTAGAAGTAAAAGACTGGCACTCCAAATATAAGCGCATTTAACACCTTTTTCTCAAGCTTATCCACAAAAAGATTCTATATTTTCAGAATCTTGTGCGAATTCTGTTTGCTTTATGTTCTGCACCATATGTTTAATATATTTGCGTGTCATATCTCTTTATATTTAGGTTATAATTTTATTATTGTTGTTCTAATGGCAATTTGTTGCTATTATTAAACACTTTTGCTTATGTACTTATATACCTATATGTAACTGATGTGCCGATGTGGGTACCAATTATTTTTTAAGATTCCATACGCTAGACTGTTTGGGACCTTAGTGAGAACTCTGTAGTTTTGAAGAGTCTTATATTTATGTATATTTGAGGTTATTTTTTTGAATTCTTATTGGTCTAGTAAATCATTGTTCTTATGTGTTGTATGAAAGTCCTCTTTATAGGATTAGGATTAGAGTTTAGAGTTGACTAATGTCTTAAAGGTTTAAGGATTTATTTGTGTCTACAACTAACCATGCTTGTAACTTTTTGTTATTTATTTCTGGCAATAAAATTTCAACAACTGTTGTGTGGTGTACTTTAGCCATAGTAACTAAGCCGAAGGAATTCTAAATGTGAAGCTGGGAGTTAGTTCTTCTTTCTTATTTTTCTTGAAATAAATATAAAGTTCTTCAAAATTCAATAATAGTAGATTCTGACAATTTGGTCAGTCTTAGTTGATTACTTGAGTTTTTTGTTTTTTACTATTTTTTACTTGAGTTTTTATTTGATTTGACTAGTGTGAAGCAGTTGGTAGAATTGCAGATATCATACAAATTCCTGCGTTTTTATGCCGTCAGGTGAAGCTGATTCTTTTTTTCCATGACCCAGTTCTTAAGCGACGAGAAATTGTGACTTTGTTTTCAATTTGAATTACATGTTTTTTTGACCCCCTCACCAACCTAGGGAAAACATCTCATTTTCTTTTTGATGATACCAATCAGACAGATCTTCTAGTTGCAGCTGCAAAAACTGGGAAAATTATCAATATTAAGAAAGGCCAGTTCTGTGCTCCTTCTGTGAGTGTCATTCCTTTTGTTATTATGGAATCCTCTTTCAGATATTTGGATTAAAATTTTTTGAGATACAGTTTCATCTGTGTATATTGTTGTTTGCCTAACTAATAATTGCTAAAATGTACAGGTCATGATAAATTCTGCTGAGAAGGTTAGATTGGCTGGAAATTCAAATGTGATGGTTTGTGAGCGTGGAACTATGTTTGGCTATAGTAAGTTTGTATCAATGTCTTGAATACCTTGTGCTTTTGACAAACGTTTTTTATTTTTTTATTTTAAAATTATCATTCAATAAATGGTGATCAGTGTAATTAAATGAAGTTCAACTTCTTGCCTGAATTGAGCTTAATAATTTTCTTTGCAAGGGTCTGAGAGAGATTGGAACAATTTAAGCAACTTAAGGACTTTAGGTTTATCTTGCCTGGGTGGTAGGGAAACAATTGGGATTTGATTGTGTAGTGAGAACAGATGACACATACGAAAAATTAAAAAAAAAAAAATATGAAAAAGAAGAAGAAGAACAAGGAAGAGGGAAACAAAGAGACAGAGGAATAAGTTTTTTATTGCCAAAAATGAAACTACCCAACTATGATATTTGTTAAGGATTAGTTGTAAATAGAATTCTGTTAGGAGTTAGATTCCTAATAGGTTTATAGTATCTTGTATGTGTGTATATATATGTGTGTCCCTTTCAGGCAGTTGTGAGATTCCTAATAGGTTTATAGTATCTTTGTAATCGTGGTGTATATATTATGGTGTCCCTATTGATGAAATACAAATTAAGAAAATTTTTTCCACATAAATTCACATGGTATCAGAGCCTTTGGCTTCGTTAAACCTTTTTTTTTTTTCCGTTTGCGGTTTGAAATTCCCAGCGGCCTGTCTGTCTCGGTGACAGTTCTAGGGTCACCGTTTTGTCTCACCGCCTAGCCTCAAAGGTTCCTCAGCTGCGATTCGGCGTTCCGTCCAAATCCGGTCACCGGATTCCCTGCGCGTTGGGCAACAACGCGCCGCTTTTTGTTTTCTGCTAACAGTACCACGCGTCGGCGCATGGCTGCGCGTCCTGGCTATTTCCGGCGATCAAAATAGTTTCTCTGGCTTCGTTTCAACTTCAGCAATCTACTTCAGGTGGTTGTTTTTTTTCCAAATCGGCGCAAGTTGGTAGGGGCGTTCTCAGTTTTTGTCAATTCGGCGTTTCAGGTTCCTGTTTTGCTTTTGAAAGGCTTATTGTTTTTTGGTATCTCTTTTCTGCGTTGCTGGTAAGGGGTGTTCAGTTTTTTAGTTAATAATGGATCTCGCATACTCCAGATTCTAAAATACTATTTCTGAATTGAATCCCAGCAATGAATAAAATCGACAGAACATAAATTAAAGGACCTAATTATTTAGAATTGGAAGTAGACAATTAGAATTTATTTGCGGAGTGGTTGAAAGATGATCAATCTAATTGATGATCCACCAACTGGTGACACCAAAACAACGTTGGTCAGGGAAGATGCTAAGTTGTTTCTACTGATTTCGCAATTCTATTCGCAGTGAAGTGGTTGAGTTAATCAATCATTGTGAGTTGTTAAATAATTAGTGGAATAATCTTAGAATTCTTGTACTCGGGAAAATGGTAATTTATGATAGAGGTCCTGCAAAGGTTTTTTTATCGAGCCGACCAAGCAAGATAAGCCCCTTACCAGCCTATTTCATGAATTTTAAGAAATTTCATGAGGAACTTAATGTTTTTATTGCCTTTTAAGTCCGCGTTGTTAAGGTTCCAGACCGCCACCGATGAAACAAATGGCTGTGATGAGTTTTCTTGCAGGTCTGCTCCGGTTTTTTGAAACTGCCAAATCCAGGATTCTTTCAAGGCAGTGATGTTACCTCTCTTCAGGAGACTTTTGCTAGATTTGCTCCGTATGAGGTTCTCATACCCCTTTCCCTTCTGATAATAGTGCCCTTGTGAGTCGTAATCAGGTATTAGGCAACGCAGGAACAGAGAAACGAGGAGGAAAATATATCGTAGTAATGGACCAATTACTCGGAGGCAAGTATTCTTATCCTGCCATTTATTCAATGGAACCTGGTCACACTAAACGGTATTGAAGAAACTGATCAAATCAAGCCACATAGGGTAAATTTGGTGTCACTAAGGATTCTGCAGTTTTACTTCTTCTGCTAACACTGTAACAATTTCTGCTACGGAGTATGCTGAGCTCTCTAGATACCGTTCTTACTACGTCTGCTGATTCCTCGATTGCTGCTGCTGCCAATTCAGGTATCTTCAATGTCTTATGTCTATTTCATCAGAGTGGGGTCATTGATTCTGGTTCTGCATAGATCACATGACAGGTAACCTAAAGTCTCTTTATCATCATTAAAAGAACCTAAACAATTTAATCGTCATGTTACTCTAGCTGATGGCTCCACATCTTCTGTCACGTGTATTGGCACTGCCAATCACCATTCCATCTCTTCCATTTGTCCTTCTGTTTTTTGCTTGTCTCTTTTTCGTTTAATCTACTGTCGGTTAGCAAAAAATTACTCGTATTTAAATTGTTGTGTTAAATTTTAATCCTACCATATTGTGTGTTTCAGGATCTTTTGACGAAAGCGGATTATTGGTAGAGGCACGTGAGTTTTGGTGGCCTCTATTCTTTCTGGATGAACGCGCGTTTCGTTATCTCTGGCTTGTGCTGGTGTCTATCTCCTCTTGAGGTTCATTACCGTTTGGGTCCATCCTTCATTGGTTTACTTTAAGAATTGTGTCCGCCAGTTTGCAGTCTTGTCAATTTTAGAATGTGAATCTTGCAATTTGCAAAGCATAACCCATCGTTTACCTTTAAGTTCCTCGAGTAAATAAACGGTTTTCATCCCCTTTTGAGTTAGGTTCATCTTGATGTTTGGGGTCCAATGTTCTGCTTATTTCTAAAACTGGCTTCTGTATTTTTTGGTGACTTTTGTGGATGATATTCTTGTGTTACTTGGTTATTTTTAAATGGAAAACTCGTTTTGAGATATTCTTCTTATTTGTTTGTCTCCTTTTGTGCTAAACATTAAAACTCAATTTAATACCTCTGTTTTGCATATTGCACAGTGATAAATGCTCAGAATATCTATCTAGCTTCTTTCCAACTTATATGTCAACAGAATGGTATCCCTCCATTCAAACATCTTTGTGTTGATACTCCCTCTTCCAAAAATGGGGTTGCAGAAACGAAAAAATCGACATCTTCTTGAGGTTTGCTATGGGCACTTCTATTCCAATGAAGGTCCCTAAACATTTTTTGGGCTGATGTTGTCTCTACTGCATTGTTTTTTTTGATTGAAACTCGCATGCCTTCTTTCTTTCTTAATGGCGAAATTTCTTATTAATGTCTTGTTTCCCTTCGAACTTTCTGTTTCGCCATTGAAACCTCGTATTTTTGTTTGTACTTTTTTGTTTTGTTCGTGATGTTCATCCACAGGTTTCCAAATTAGATCAAAGTCCTTCGTTGGTGTTTTCCTTGGTATTCTCGGGAGTCAGAAAGGTTATCGTTGTTTCTCTCGCCGATCTTGACCTTATATTATTTCTGCATATGTCACATTTTTGGAGATAGTCCATTTTTTTCCTTCTTTCTTAATAATATAGAGTGAGGGGGACGATGATGAGTTTTTAGTTTATGCTATCCAGCAATTTCATAACTCTCCTGCTCCTGCTCCTATTCCTGAACCTGTCCCAGCTCCTGCACCAGCATCTGCTTGCCCTCATTTTGAACAAGTTTATTCTAGGAGAACAGAAACTCTTGACTCACTTCCTCCACCTGCCGCTTCAATAGAAGATCCAGTTCCCTCCACTCAACCTGAGCCTGTGCCATCCACTCCCCAGTCAGACCTTGACCTTCCGATTGCTCTTCGAAAAGGTAAACGCAAGTGTATCCATCCTATTTCCTCTTTTGTCAGTTATGATCATCTTTCTTCTTCATCTCGTTGTTTTGTAAGTAGCCTAGACTCTGTCTCTATACCTACAATTGTTGCCCAAGCTTTGTCTCATCCTGGTTGGTGTGCAACAATGAAAGAGGAGATGGCTGCCTTAGACACTAATGGTACTTGGGATCTTGTGCTTCTCCGGACAGGTAAGAAAGCTATTGGTTGTAAGTGGGTTTTCTCTATTAAGGTGAATCCTGATGGGTCTGTTGCTCGTCTCAAGGCTCGATTAGTTGCAAAGGGCTAATTCTCAATTTATGGGCCTTGATTATTCTGATTACTTTTTCTCCGTCACCAAATTGTCTTCTGTTCGTTTATTTATTTCTTTAGCAGCTACTTTTGACTGGCCTTTTTAAATCAGCTGGACGTTAGACTGCCTTTCCTTCATGGGTCTTCAGGAGAAGTTTACATAGAGCAACTCACAGCTTTGTTGCTCAGGGGAGTCGGGTAAAGTGTGTAAAGCTTGAAAAAATCTCTTTATGCTAAAACAGAGTTCCCGAGCCTTGGTTTGCCGTAGATTTTTGGCAATGCGTACATCAACTTTGGCTCGAGAGTACTTCTGATCATTCTGTATTTTTCAGAGTTACTAAAGACTGGATTTGATTTCTACTTGTGGTTTATGTTGATCGGTAATTGTCATTACAGGGGAGTAGATTTCAGCCGGCACAACATCAACCAAAGTCATTTCTCAAACTCAGTTTTCACAGACAAAGATTAGATTGTTGAGGATTTTTCTTGGTTATTGGGAAGTGATCTAGTGAAGAGAGGCATCTTTCTTATCTCAAAGGAAAATATGTCCTTAGATTTACTGAAGGAAACTGGAAAAAGTTGGGGGTGCCAAGCCTGCAGCTGCTCCAATGACTCCTAATTTGCAAGACTCCAACTTTCAATTGATGGTGAGCTATTTGATGATCCTGAGATGTATAGAAGGTTAGTGGGCAAATTGAATTATCTTACAGTAACACGTCCAGATATTGTTTACTCTGTGAGCGTCTTAAGCCAGTTTATGTCTTCTCCTACTCTTATCCATCGGGAAGCTTTAGGACAGATTTTGTGCTACTTGAAAGGTAATCCAGGTCGTGACCTGCTTTACAGTAATCATGGGCATTTGGACATTGAGTGTTTTTCAGATGTGGATTGGGCAGGTTCGAAGGTTGATAGAAGATTAACTTCAGGATATTGTGTCTTTGTGGGTGGAAACTTGACATCGTGGAGGAGCAAGAAACAAAATGTAGTGAGTCTCACGATCGAGTGCTGAATCAGAATATCGAGCTACTGCACAAATCTGCCTTGTGAATTTTAATTGGATTCAGTCATGTTAGAGAAATTGCTTCATTCATCATGCCTTTCAAAGTTATGTTGATAATTCAAGCTTGCTTTTCACATTGCATCAAAATCCAGTATTCCACATGAACGAACGAACATATCGAGGATTTGATTGTCCTTTCATCGTGAAAAAAAGATACAAACGCGTGTGTTATCTCTACAGTGGGCATGTTAAAACAAGTTGAATACGTTAGGAGAGATATCTTTACTAAAGCTCAAATGGACTCGGGTGGACCTGTCTTATGTTAATGCGCATGATTAACATCCTATGCTCCAACTTGAGGGGAGTGTTAAGGATTAGTTGTAAATTAGAACTCTGTTAGAGTTAGATTCCTAAGTAAATAGAACTCTGTTAGGAGTTAGATTCCTAATAGTTTTATAGTATCTTGTATGTGTGTATATATATGTGTGTCCCTATTGATGAAATACAAATCAAGAAAATATTTTTCCACAATAAATTCACAATATTATTCAATGTTTGATTACCATAAAAAAGATAATCAAAACTTTGTTTATGTAAAACCTAACTGAGATATCTTTTCTATGTAATTGCGATAATTCTAACTGCAAGCCTCCACTCTAATAAAATACTCAAGAGTTCTCTCAAAGTACAGTTATTGTAGTGACTTGCTATTCTTTCCGCTCCAAGATACTCAGCATATCAAGTAAACTACCAATAGAACTTTCTTATTAAACTAGCTGCTAATTTTCCTTGGAAATGTTTACACTGAAAGTGCTTGAGCTTCAAAAAGATTTATATTTAAATCAAGTGCATAAAGTGATAATATTTTTCTACTCAAGTGTGAACTTACTGTCATTGAAATGTTGACATGGAGATGAAAGCTCCACCTTTTATGAGATTCATGTTGAGCTTTTCACTGGATATTGATTGATGTGGGCATTGGGGCCCTATTACCTGAAATTTGTGCTAAGGTAAGCAAAAGAAGGAAAAATTCCACCTAAATAGGCATGTGAGCACTCATGTCATTTTTCAACAGAATTTTGGAGAAAGTAGAGCCTTGATGTATGCATGGCAATTCAAATAAGAATGAATGTACAAATTGGAGCACTTAAATATAAATTCACCCAAAGTATGAGTTTTTCTAATGTGATTTTTCTGAATCCTTTCATAAATTACGACAGTTTTATCGTATGAAGTAAACAATTGCTGAGTTTTCTGTCTGAAGTAATTATTTCAAATTTTTTCTTTGATCCTTTTTCAGCATCTAAATCTGATTAGTTATTTGAGCCTAGTTTACATTTAAGGTTTGAAGGTTGAATCTGATCTCACAGTTGACACCTTTAGAGAAATGATTGATTTACTGATTATCATTATTTTTTCAAGGAGAATTATTTTCTTTTTTCATTAATTATAGTTGTTTTATGAGAATGTTGATGAAATAATCAGGAAACTGTTGAGAATTTTTCTAGGCGCATGTTAATACTGTATGCCCTGAGAAGCAGCTACTCTTGCATTTCGTTCAACGCAAGTCAAACCCTTGCATAATTGAGTTATTTGGCTAATGTATTTTGTATTAGCTTTTTATGAATTATTTCTGTGGTATATAAACCAATTTGGAACATTTTTGGATTTAATATTTTATGGATCACAAATATCTTTTTCTTATCTGTTTTAATTTCATCTTACATGTGCACTTTTGTTTGCAGGTGATTTAATTGTTGATCCGCGTAATTTGGAGTGGATGAGGGATGCTGATTGTCCTGTTGTAAGTCAAATAGTTTTGTTTTGGTTTTAGCTTCTGTGATACTTAAATTCATGTCTTCTTCTTCTCTGCAAAGAGCAGGCCCGTTGGCAAGATAAATTTGGAACTTTGGCAAGTTTTTACAATTATGTGCCATTCTTTTAATTTTATCAATTTATTCTTTTAATTTTATCAATTTGGATACAAACAAATTGGATCCTTCATTAGACTTCACCCAACATTGTTGTAGGTTTACTGATTTAGACACTAAACAAAACCTTTGCGGTCTGTATTTTGCTAAAGAAAATACAATGAGGCAAGGGTTCCAGCCTAAACTAGGAAAGACAATATTTACTCTAATTAGGAATAAAAATAAACTAGGAAAGACAATATTTACTCTAATTACAAAGATTTCACACTCCCCCTCAAGTTGGTGCATAGATCCTATACATGCCCAACTTGCAAACTAAAGAATGAAACAACTTGCTATTCAAACCCTTTGTGAAAACATCAGCTAGTTATTCTTTTGAAGCTATATAGGAGACACATAAAACCTTCAACTATCTTCTATTTTATAAAGTGATGATCAATCTCTATGTGCTTAGTTCGATCATGCTAGACTGGATTATTCATAATACTGATGGCTCATGCTAGACTGGATTATTCATAATACTGATGGCTGCTTGCTATTACAAAACAAGGATATATTTGTTGTTTCAACCAACTTTAATTCTTCCATTAATCTGTGCAACCATAGTAGTTCACAAATTCCTTATGTCATTTATTTAGCTTTTGCACTGGACCTTGCAACAACAGCCTGCTTCTTGCTTCTCCATATGACCAGGTTTCCTCCAACAAAAGCACAATAACCTGAGGTTGATCTCCTTGTCATCAAGGGAACCAGCCCAATTCGCTTCTATATAGCCTGTTATTGTCAAATGGCCATGTTTAGAAAATAAAAGTCCTCTACCTGGAGCTGATTTTAAATATCTTAGAATTCGATGCAAAGCTTCTAAGTGAGACTCCCGAGGGTCATGCATGTACTGAATCACTAAACTTACAGCATAGGCAATATCTGGTCTAGTGTGGGCAAGATAAATAAACCTCCCGACCAATCTCTAATACCTGCCAACATCAACTGGACTTCCCACTCCAGCTTGAAGCTTATGATTGGCTTCATTAGGTGAGTCTGCAGGTTTAAATCCCAACATACCAGTTTTTTAAAGGAGATCAAGGATGTACTTTCTTTGAGAAATAAATATCCCTTTTTTTGATCTAGCAACTTCTATCCCAAGAAAATATCTCAATTTTCCGAAATCTTTCATCTCAAATTCCCTAGCTAATAAACTTCTCAAGTGAGTCATTTCTTCTTCATTATTTCCAGTCATCACTATATCATCAACATAAACAATAAGCAATGTGATTTTACCTTCATGATTATATATAAATGAACAAAGTATATCAACATCACTCTGAATGTACTCGAAGAAAGCATCAGCTTTACTAAACCTTTCAACCATGCTTCTGCGTATTGCTTCAGCCCCATATACTTGGTGATTGCTTCAGCCCATATAATGACTTCTTCAGCTTGCAAACTTTTCCTCTGGTCTTGTCATCATCAAATCCAGGAGGAATCTCCATATATACCTGTTCTTTCAAATCACCATGTAGAAAAGCGTTTTATACATCAAATTGATGCAACTCCCAGTCAAAATTGGCTGCACAAGACAACAAAATTCTAATTGTGTTCATCTTGGTTATAGGGCAAATATTTCCTGGTAATCAGCTCTATAGGTTTGATTGAACCCTCTGGCTACCAATCTAGCCTTGTACCTCTCAATTGAACCATCTGCCCTATGTTTAACTGTGAACACCCATTTACATCCAATTGATTTCTTTCCGGGTGGAGGAATTACAAGATCCCATGTCTCGTTTTGTGCCAAAGCTCTCATTTCCTCAACCATTGCAACCTTCCATTTTGAGTCCTATAATGCCTCTTGTCACTCCTGCGGTATAGAAACAGAAGAAACAGACAAAACGAAGGCTCTATAGGAAGGGGATAGAGCATTATAGGAGATAAAATGGGAGATGGGATGTTTAGTGCATGTTCTAACTCCTTTTATAAGAGCAATAGAAATATCAAGGTCGTCAGACGGGCTAGAATCAAGATTAGGATTAGAATCAACAAGGATTAAAGAAGACTCACTAGGTTCTTGTTCTTCTGTATTTTCAGGGCTTGAAATTGGATAGGACGGTTGATCAGCGGTCTCATGCTCCATGATTGTATCTGTATTAGTCCGCCGTATGTAGGTTTTCAAATCAGGTCTATCCAATCTTTCTGGAGGTTTCGGTGGTTGGTCTCTCTTATTATCTATGTCTACAGGTATCTCCCCCTAGAAACGAATGTCATCCATGACCTCTTCCATCAGGTATTTCTCCCTCTAAAGAGGTGATTGGGAAGGAAAATAAGACTCAAATTCCGGAAAGGTAACATCCATACTTATGAAGGATTTCCGAGAAGAAGGATAATAGCATTTGTATCCTTTTTTAGTAGTAGAGTAACCAACAAACACACACTTCAAGGCTCTAGGATCAAATTTTCTTAGACCATTTTGATGAACAAAACAAACACAGCCAAAGACCTTAGGAGGTACAATGTAAGAGTTTTTTCCTTGAAGAACCTCTAATGGAGTTTGAAAATTTGAAGTACGAAGAGACATATGATTGATAAGGTAAGCAGTAGTCAAAATAGCATCCCCCAATATGGTTTGGGAAGATTCATAGTAAACATAAGAGACCTAGCTACTTCCAGTAAATGCCTACTTTTCCTTTAGGCCATGCTATTTTGAGCATTAGTATTGACACAACTAGTTTGATGGATAATACCATTAGAATCTAAATGGGTACGAAAATCTGCATTTATGTATTCAGTACCATTATCAGTTCTTAGGATTTGAACATGAGCATCAAACTGAGTACAAATTATTTTATGGAAGTTCTGAAAACACGAAAAAACTTCATTTTTTGTTTTCATCAAATAAACCCAAGTCAATCTAGAATTATATTGTAATTCAAGTACCATATCAGTTCTTAGATTTGAAACTAATGAGCATCAAATGAAGTCTACCAATTATTTTATGGGAAGTTCTGAAAAACACGAAAAAACTTTCAATTTTTTGTTTCATCAAAGACACCAAGTCATCTAGTGCATAAAGGTCACAAACCCATCATATAACAAAAAGACGAGAGTTTTGAGTAGGACCCATACAATCAGAATGAATAGCTAGCATAAAGAATCAAAAATTGATATTATTAATTGGAGAATAAGAATGCTTGCTGTGTTTGGCAAGTTCACCACGCATCACATACTAATGAATCAAAATCACACTTAGCAACAAAGTGGTGAAAATAAATGTCCTAAAAACAAAAAAACGCAGGGCAATGTCCCTAATGTCTTATGCCATATGAATAATTTCATGGGAAGGATTTCTAGAAGTTCCTACAAAAGCTTGACTAATTACCCGGGATTTGAAAACGAACAACGTCATCTAACAGATACAGCTCCATCGCGCAGCTACACTACCAATTGTTCTCCCACGTGTTCAAGTCCTGAATATACAATGAGTAGGATAAAAAAAGATTACTTATGCAAAATAGCGCTTTTTATTAAGCTACAATAAACAGACATTAATAGGGATCTACGGAAACATTTGAAGAACAGAGGAGAGTTATAATATTGGGAAGTACAGTCAAATAGGACTGTGCTAGCATCAGATACTACGGAGCCATTCATAATTGTTGAATTTTGTTATGTGCCTTGATTACTTAGAATATGTGGGAAGATTTTTATAGAGCCGTTCTACTGTGTTATATTGCTGTTATGAATCTGTAAACCAAATGGAGGGTTTGGCATTTTTGCAAGAAAAGGTAAGAAAAGCATTACCTGAATTAACAAAATTAGAGGCTGCAGTCTGAGTTGAGGAAGAATCAAGCTGTGACAATAATCGTTTCAGGGACTGAATTTGCTTATCAGAAAAACTACCAGTAGTAGATGGTTCCTTAGATAAAGCTCCAGTATCAGATATGTGTCTGTGGTCTAGAAGAACTGACCTGCATCCCTACACGCCCTTTAGTTGGCCGTTCTTGTTATGTCCAGCAAAACTCCTTAGTATGCATGTTCTTACTGCAATAGTCACAAAATAATTGATCTCTGTCTGAAGAATCGCTCTTTGTAGCCTGTATCTGTTCTCTTGCAGAATTAGCAATCAACCCTGCTTTATTAATTATAGATCTGTGAACCATAGCACTCCTCCTAGTCTCCTCTTGCTGTACAAATGGTATGCTTGTCGCAGGGATGGAAAAAGATCTCGTCCAAGAACTTGGACTTGAATCTGATCATACTCGTTATTTCGGCCAGCCAGAAAATCATACACATGTTCTACTTCAATCAACTTCTGAACTTGAGTCGCATCATCGGTACATTTTGCTTGAAAGTCTAGGTAATAATCCAGTTCCTGACATAACCCACTAAGTTTCGCAAAATACTGAGTGATAGTCAGATCTCTCTGCTTGGTTTCATGAACTTTCTGTCGCAATTCATACCTCTGAGTATAGTTTCCAGTTTGCGAGTAAGTCTGTGAAGCGGCATCCCATATCTTCTTAGCTTCCCATATTTGGTTTCATGAACTTTCTGTCGCAATTCATACCTCTGAGTATAGTTTCCAGTTTGCGAGTAAGTCTGTGAAGCGGCATCCCATATCTTCTTAGCTGTATTAAGAAGTAAATATCCTCGTGAAATGGTTGCTGCATAGAATTGATCGGCCAGTACATAATAAGGGAGTTCTCTGATTTCCATTTTTTATAACTTGGATCTGTCGAAACTGGTGTTGGTGCTCCACCGTCAAGGTACCCCTGCAAACCTCTAGCCTCAATGCATAGCAAACAAGATTGAGACCAAGCCAAGTAATTTGTGCCATCTAACTTCACTGAACTAATCTGGAGTGAAGGATTCTCCAAGTGAAAAACTACATCTACCTTTTTTTTGGCCAACCATACTGTCAGCCTAAAAAATTTGATAGCTGATTCAAAAATCTGGAACCGGAAATCACACAGGCAGCAGTACATGAGATCAAATCAAAAAAAGGAACCAACACAAAGTCAAAACTGGTACTGCGTGACCAGTGGGTCTGAGTCGCAGCACCAACACAAGACCATCAGAACAAGAAATGTTGGCAAAGGTCACCGAAAAATGCAGCACGTGCCAGCGTGTGAAGAAAGGCCAGAAACTTCCGTTGGTGCGTGTATCGGACGACGACGGAATTTGACCAGAAGGCGATCGACGGTTGCTCCTCCTTCTGAAGTGGGCAGTGATAACCAACTTCCTCTCCTAGTGGCGCTACTCGAAACTCAGACCTGTTTGTGAACAAAAAACCTATGCCGAAAAATCACGGGAAGGCTCTGATACCATGTAGTTTTTTGAAAAGAGAAGGTTTTATTTCTCTGTATTGTGTTGTTATTGTCCAATCTCTACTCTACTATATATATATGCAAACATTGTTCCAATATAGGAAATAATCTAAATAGAAATAAACCTAAACTAGGAAAGATAATATTTACTCTAATTACAAAGATTTCAACAGGTCATTTGCCAAATCTTTGTCCTATGAGCAAAACATAGCTAACCAAGTGTTATTGTTTTCCTTTGTGCAAGGGGGCAGCTTCTATGCCTTAGTCGAGCTGAACTGAACTGGATAGGATGCAAATGAGTCTGTTGAGGAAGTATTAAGAAATTAGCTGGAAAAGAATCTTTTGTGGAAACAAAAAGTCCATGATGATTTTGCATTTGTCCATATGTTGAGTTCCAAAATAAATATGCTTCAAATAATTTTTTATGTTGTGCTATTGCTATGCTTTATATTCTAAAATTTAGGCGCTACTACAATCTGAATGACCTAATCATTGGATGTATAAATACAGGTGGCTGATGTGACACATTCACTACAACAGCCTGCTGGGAAAAAGGTGTGAGTTGTCTTACATTTTATGTTTCATAGTGACTTCTATAGTTCTATTGCATTCTTAATTAATTGAGGTTATCATGTTTTCCATAATTTCCACAACAATAATTTAGTATGTAAGAACACAATCTTTAATATAACAACAACCACCAAGCCGTAGTCCCACACTAGTTAGGTCGGCTATATGAATTTTTTGTTTAACGATTCACTTTGATCAAATTAATATCAAAAGGCAAACCAAAGTATAAGTTGGAAAAATTTGGACATACTTTCTATAAAACTAAAATTTTGAAGGGCATTCTAAAATTATTTGATATAATAATAAATAGGATAAAACACAAAATAGGTAACAACTAACTAGGATATGCTTCATGAACCTTTTACTTTTATTCCATCCTATTCATAGCTATATCCTCACTGATATTTAAAGGCCATAGATCCTTAGCGGTAGTTTTAGGTTGACCTCTTACCTATTTTGCACCCTCCACTACTAAAGTATCACATTTGTAAACCAGGCATGTGAGGTTCTACATAATACATGACCATACAATCTTAGGCGTCCTTCTCTCATTTTATCTCCAATTTCCACTACTTTCACTTTTTGGTTAATGTGATGTTTTCTAATCTTTTCCAACCTGTGACCACACATTTAAGCATTTGCATTGTGGACATGTTGCGTATTAGGTGCCCAGCATTTACTCCCATTTAGCATTGCTGGTCACACCACCATTCTATAGAACTTACCTTTCACCTTATTAGGTATCTTCCTACGCATAGTACACCGGTAACACTCCTCCATTTCATCCATCATACTTGGATTTTATGAGAAACATCTTCGTCTATGAGACCACCCCCCCCCTAGATAGAGCCTTGATATTTGAATTGATTGTACTTGGTACCATGTACCCTCTAATCTAACCTCCTTTCCTGTTTTTTCTTTAAATTAAGCTTACTGGCATGTATTATGTCTTACTTCTGCCTAGCTTAAAACCATTATCCTCAAAAGTTCTCCTCCATAGTTCCAACTTTTGATTTACTCCCTCACTAGTTTTATTTATTAGGACAATATCATCCATTTGTAGGATAAATAAGCATAGGCTCAAAGCAAATCCTTGATGTAGCCAACTATTATAGGGAACTTCTCTGTATCCCCTCCAGTCATCCTCAAACTTGTGACTGCATTGTCATATATATCTCTAATGGTATTAATATACTTGATACGAATTCCTTTCTTTTCTAATACCCACCAAAGTTGTGTTGGGGTTTGTGTTTGTGACCTAATCATTGATATCGTAATTTTGTGTTGTTTTTTGTTGGTATCTTTGGCCATTCATCTGTTCTATGTCTAGTCTATCCTGGAATGTTTTTTTCCTTCTTCAAATGGTTATATTTTTGCTTTACATGCAGTTGGATGGTGGTGGTGTTGCCAGTGGAGGTCTTCGTGAATTGATACCATGTATTGCAAGGACAGCAGTTGCTGTTGGGGTAGATGGAATTTTTATGGAGGTATGGTGAATCTGCTGAAAATAATCAATGTAGTATTAGAATATTATGGTATTATGATGCTTGAGTGTTGAGGCAAGTTTACTATTTGGTGCTAGTTTATACTTGTATTGTCGGTCCTTTTTAGCTCGAGCACTATCTTAAGAGCTTTTGCTTGAAGACTTTTTATAGTTGTGACTTCTGAAATCTTTTTTTGGGTGCTTAGGTGCATGATGATCCTCTGAGTGCTCCTGTGGATGGTCCAACACAATGGGTGAGTTTTTTACTTGGCTTGCTTGCTACAGTATGTATGTCTTTTCTCTGAATACAAGTTAGTGGTTCTCTTTTAATCTTCCTATTCAATGAAGTGTGTGAAGTCTTTAGCCTTTTCATGTTCCTAATTAATTAAGCAGGTTAATTAATGAGGAATAGTAAGAGTCTTTGATTTGGTTTCATCCTAACTATTATAAATAGGACAACTGTATTTTCTCTTTCAAATTATAATTTTATTTCTGATTTCTTTAAATACTGTACTTAATTCTGACCACAATCAAGTTTTTCCTCAAGTAGTTAATCAGGAATAGAAAAGGCTGAAGACTGTTTGTACTTCATTAAATAGGAATATTAAAATAAGGAAAATGAAAAGACTAACACACTGAAACCTTAATCAATTTGGATGTATGCTCTTAGTTAATGCAAACTGACAGACAGATCAAGATTGATTTTTTTTTTTTCTTCAGCAGTACCATTATCTAACAATATTTGCTTTTTCATGATAACAGCCTCTACGCCATTTGGAGGAATTACTTGAAGAGCTCATGGCAATAGCTGTAAGTTCTTAGCAAAGTTTTTAATAAGCACATGCATTCCGGTTTTGTATATGTTCAATGTTAGAAACTTGCTCTGGCAGCAATGCTGCATTTATAGACACACATGCTTACTATTTCTCATTAACATTTACTCCCTCTGTCCCGTTTTGTTTGCTTGTTATTCCTTTTTTTGGATGTCCCAAAATGTTTGCAAAGTTTTTAAATATATATATTTTAACAATTACTTTTTCCATAATAATCCTTATGATTATTCATTAAATGAAGGATTTTTATTAATATCTTAATGAGTTAGGGGAGAAAAGGAGCAAAATAATTTTTGTTGACTAAATTCTTAATATGTGTGTTTTGTCAAACCATGCAAACAAAATAGGATGGAAAGAGTATTATGTTTTCTTCAACTGTGTGAAAAGAATAAGGTAACAGCCTTTTAGGACAGAGGGACTAGTAAAATATTTGACAATTCCTTAATTATATTAGCAATATTTTCCCACTGGACATTTTAGTCTTAGTATATTCATTATAGGTTTAGGATTACTTTGAATATATAAATAACTAAACTTTGTATTCGCATTCAACAGTTTTCAAGTGAATAAATTCTTCAAACAATATCTTCTTTGAATTGTGTGATCCGATTCTGATCCTAGAAAGGGTGAGGTTTTCTTGATAATTACAATAATTAGCCCAAATTGACACAAATATCAGAACTTGAGGTAAGAGTTGCCAAACTAAACAATTGTTTAAATTGAAAAAACATACAGAATTGCTATGTTTTATGTTTTGTTTAGTGTTGTCAAAAACGCTAGGCGCCCTTGAGGTGACGAGGTCCTCCGTTGCTTGAGGCGCTAGGTGCTTGCCTGAGTGAGGTCAGGTATTTCTAGATAAATTTAGAATTTAGAATTCTCGAATGGTTCCAATTTCCAATCACTTCTTTTTTACTTTCATATTATCCTTTTTAATTTGACCTAATTTTTAATGGTGGCTCATCTTACCAATTTCTACCCATTTTCCTTTTTTTTTTTTTTTTTTTTTCCATTTTCCTTTTTTTTTTTTTTTTTTTTTACATGTGCACTCATTTTTAATTGTTAGATTAGATTTTGACCTAGTTATTTAATGGCTGTCCAACTTTCCAATTTTCAGTCACTTCTTTTTTCTTTTATTTTTTGTTCCATATTTGTGTGTTAGATTTGGCTTAATTTTCACCCATTGTCTTTAAGTTATAGCCCTATCACTCTATCGTCCTAGACTTCAATTCATCACTTAAAAATCCCTCAACTATTATTAGAGTTAAAAAAAAAATTATGTTTTACCAGTTTTCTGGTCACTAGTCAATGAAAAGCTGAAGCTGATGTATGTAGAATTTTGTATCAAATAATTGAGAAGAAAAAGCCACATCAATTGTAATAAGCTTGAAATCCTTATTTTTTTACCACACTTCACAGTTAATAAACCCTAATACTGCATCATCTACATCCAGCCCAATAAATCCTTATCGCTTTATCTCTCTGTGTGTGTTTTTTCTTCTTCTTTTGTTTAACTATAGTTTATACAAAGTTTTGACACTTGGGGCTTGGTTATATTGAAATGAATTGGATTTATTTTGGATTTTGCTCTTCCAATAATAGTTGAGGGATTTTAAGTAACGAGTTGAAGTTTAGAGTTGGCAAAAATGACAGAGTCTATAATATAGCTATGATGGGTGAAAATAAGCCGTTAAATTTTACATAATGATTTAATGGTGTTCTAACTTCCCAATTTCTAGCGACTTCCTTTTTTTCCATATTTATATGTTAGATTTTGACCTAATTATTTTAATTGCTATTCTGGTTTCCAATTTCTAGTCACTCTTCTTCTTTTCTTTTCATTATTTTTACTTCTATTATTTATTAACCTAAACCCTTAAAGTCTTATAGTTTTTTAGGGAAATAGCAAAATAAGTTTGAGGCGCTTGCCTACCTCTCGCCTCTCCTTGCTGTGCCTTGGTGCGTGGGCAGCCCTAGTTGAAGGCACCTCTCTTAGAGGAACCCCAGGCACCTGTGCCTCGCCTTGACTTGCCTTGTCTGGCCTTGGTGCCTAGGAGAGGGCCTTGGTGCCTAGGAGAGTGCCTCGGGCGCACACTCGCCGCTTGTGACAATGCTGGTTTTGTTAATTAGTTTTTAAGCAACACAATCTTGAGATGCATGGTCCTTTGCCCATGGTCTTATCATGTGGTAATTGATTATGTTTTGCTTGTTTGCTCACTCATCCTTCATTCATTTTTTGATCACTAGATATTAGTGGGCCAGCTTTGCAAGAAAACAAATGAGAAATGAAACATGGAGATCTATTTCCTCAGAAACGATGTGGGAAACAGTGTTTAAAATGTAATTTACATGAAAAAAAGAGGAGAAATGGACATGAGGAAACGTTTTTGAAATGCAGAAACGCCCATGGATTCCTTACATCATAGGTGGAGATATTATTTCACGATTTTTGATATATATTAACAATGGACTTGCATTTCTTTCGCTCCTTTTTGAGGCCTGGTGATGGAACAATTTGCATTGCCAAGGGAAAATTAGTGTAGACAAATCATATGCTATACAAAATCTGAGTTTTTGAAATTTTATTCTAGATTTTATAGGAGGTAACTTTTCTACCTTCTTCCCCAGGATAAATTTATTGAATATCAAACTTTCATCATGTTCTTGTATGGTATGGTTTGTCATTCCAAAATTCTATATTGATGTGGGTGCTTATTTTGTTGGAATACCAAAGAGGGCAAGTAAGGGGAAGAGAAGTATGGACATTGATCTCACACCATTTCGTGATTAGAAAAGCTTGAGAGCCTCTGTTGAGTAAGCACAAATACTAGCATGTATTATGTCTTACTTCTGCCTAGGTTAAAACCCTTATCCCCAAAAGTTCCCCTCCATAGTTCCAACTTTTGATTTACTCCGTCACTAGCTTCATTTATTAGGACAATATCATCCATTCGTAGGACAAATAAGTATAAGCTCAAAGCAAATCCTTGATGTAGCCAACTATTATAGGGAACTTCTCTGTATCCCCTCCAGTTGTCCTCAGACTAGTGATTGCATTTTCATAGTAACTCTAATGGTATTAATATACTTGGTACGAATTCCTTTCTTTTCCAATACCCACCAAAGTTGTGTCAGGGTTTGTGTTTGTGTACTAATCATTATTATCGTAGTAAGATTCTTTGATTTGGTTTGGTCCTAACAATTATAAATAGGACAACTGTATTTTCTCTTCTTTCAAATCATAATTTTAATTTTGATTTCTTTAAATACTGTACTTAATTCTGACCACAAATATCAGAACTTGAGGTAAGAGTTGCCAAACTAAACAATTGTTTAAATTGAAAAAACATACAGAATTGGTATGTTTTATGTTTAGTTTAGTGTTGTCAAAAACGCTAGGCGCCCTTGAGGTGACAAGGTCCTCCATTGCCTGAGGCGCTAGGTGCCACCCTAGGTGCTTGCCTGAGTGAAGTGAGGAACTCTAGATGAATTTAGAATTTAGAATCCTCGAATGGTTCCAATTTCCAATCAATTCTTTTTTTTATTTCATATTAACCTAATTTTTAATGGTGGTTCATCTTACCAATTTCTAGCCACTTTCCTTTTTTTTTTTTTTTTTTTTTTTTTTTTTTTTTTTCTACATGTGGTGCCACTATTTTTTTAATTGTTGATTAGTTTTGGCTAGTTATTTAAATGGCTTTCCAATTTTTCAGTCACTTCTTTTTTTTTTTTCTTTTTGTTCCATAATTGTTTTTTTTTTTTTTTTTTTGTTCCATATTTATGAGTTAGATTTGGCTTAATTGTCTTTAAGTTATAGCCCTATCACTCTATCGTCCTAGAACTTCAATTCATCACTTAGAAATCCCTCAACTATTATTAGAGTAAAAAAAATATATATATGTTTTACCAGTTTTCTGGTCACTAGTCAATGAAAAGCTGAAGATGATGTATGCAAAATTTTTTATCTTATAATTGAGAAGAAAAAGCCACATCAATTGCAATAAGCTTGAAATACTTACCTTTTTACCACACTTCACGGTTAATAAACCCTATACTGCATCATCTACATCCAGCCCAATAAATCCTTATCGCTTTGTCTCTCTGTGTGTTTTTTCTTCTTTTGTTTAACTATAGTTTATACAAAGTTTTGAGACCTTGCGGTTTGGTTATATTGAAATGAATTGGATTTATTTTGGATTTTGCTACTTCAATAATAGTTGAGGGATTTTAAGTAATGAGTTGAAGTTTAGAGATGGCAAAGTGACAGAGTGCCTCGGTGCGTAGGCAGCCCTAGTTGAAGGCGGCTCTCTTAGAGGAACCCCAGGCACCTGTGCCTCGCCTTGACTTGCCTTGTCTGGCCTTGGTGCCTAGGCGAGTGCCTCAGGCGCACACTTGCCGCCTGTGACAATGCTGGTTTTGTTAATCAGTCTTTAAGCAACACAATCTCGAGATGCATGGTCCTTTGCCCATGGTCTTATCATGTGGTAATTGATTATGTTTTGCTTGTTTGCTCACTCACTCTTCATTCATTTTTTGATCACTAGATATTAGTGGGCCAGCTTTGCAAGAAAACAAATGAAAAGAAACGTGAAGATCTATTTCCTCAGAAAATGTAATTTACATGGGAAAATGGTATTTTATGAGGAGAAATGGACATGAGGAAACGTTTTTGAAATGCAGAAATGCCCATGGATTCCATACATCATAGGTGGAGATATTCTTTCATGATTTTTGATATATATTTACAATGGACTTGCATTTCTTTCGCTCCTTTTTGAGGCCTGGTGATGGAACAATTTGCATTGCCAAGGGAAAATTAGTGTAGACTAATCATATGCTATAGAAAATCGAGTTTTTGAAATTTTATTCTAGATTTTATAGGAGGTAAAAAATTTATTGAATGCCAAACATTCATCATGTTCTTGTATGGTTTGTCATTCCAAAAATTCTATATTGACGTGGGTGCTTATTGTAATGGTTTTCATTTCCAAAAAATTTTATAGGAGGTAAAAAATTTATTGAATGCCAAACATTCATCATGTTCTTGTATGGTTTGTCATTCCAAAAATTCTATATTGACGTGGGTGCTTATTTTGTTGGAATACCAAAGAGGGCAAGTAAGGGGAAGATAAGTATGGACATTGATCTCACACCATTTCGTGATTAGAAAAGCTTGAGAGCCTCTGTTGAGTAAGCACAAATACTTGTTTATTTAATTAGTGCATGTGCATGTGTTTTGTCCATGTGCGATATTTGTGTCATCTAATTTTTCTCAATTTTCAGGTTATTGTCTGTGGATTCAGTCTAGCTTTACTACGAGATGACAAGAATGGCAAGTATTTGTTCACTTCTGCTATTAAATGCTATGTCGTTTAATATTTCCAACTTGAATTAGATGCCAATTCAATTATTATTTTCAACCAATTGTTTTTTTTTTTTACCGTGGTTGTAATATTTGTATTGGGTCAGTCCATATAAATCTAGATGGTAAATGGCTAACTTACAATAATATTTGTAGTGTGATACTTTGAAAATTTCTTTGCCAAAATTTATTCTATAGTAGTATTTGTGGGAAAAAAACAATCTCATTTCAGCTTGTATATTTGAAACTACTGTCAACATCTTAAGGTCCCTTTTTTTTATGATTATTTACTTATTTTAAGTCTACTTTTTGACGAAGTAGAAAAATATACTATTCAAATAAACAAAACCTAAGTGCCTAAAATCACAGATTTAGGCCCCACATTATTAATTCGAATAATAAACCTTTTTGAAAACAACTGTTAGGAAAAAGAAGTCACTTGCCTATTTTTAGGTCAAAAATTATAAGTAGAACAATATTTGGTTTGACTTATAAATTAAAAAAACTACTCAAACTAGATAAAAATTATAAGTAAGGTCCTTTTTTATGATTATTTACTTATTTTAAGTCTACTTTTTGATGAAGTAGAAAAATATACTATTCAAATAAAGAAAACCCAAGTGCCTAAAATCACAGATTTAGGCCCAACATTATTAATCCTAATAATAAACCTTTTTGAAAACAACGTTTTGGAAAGAGAAGTGAATGATTGGTCGGTTGACGTCATATACTTACATTCCAAACCTTGAGCTATAAAATAATATACGACTTCAATTTTTCCCATCTTCAAAACAGAGAGTCCAAAACTAATGTCAAAGACAGCCACTATTCATGTGACTTTTCCAACGCGGAAATCCCAACACAAAGGGAATAATTTTACATTAGCATAGAAACAATTAGCAACTAGTTTATATATATATATATAATTTAGCAATAAGATAATATTACAAGTCCAACTTTCACATTCAAAAAAATAAAATTTAGTTCAGCACTTTGTTATCTTGCATTTTTTATTTTTTTTTAATTCGTTTGAGGTTTTTATTAGTTGAAATGACATTGTGGATTACACAACAGAGTGTAATTCTCTCTTGGTTCACCAAATTAGTAAAAATAATAGTAGTCGAGAGGACTTTTTATGACAATTGGTGTATTTATGGCTTTGAGGCGTCAAAGAAAATCACTTTCTTTCAGTAATTAATTGCCCGCACCAGGTGTGCTGCAGGATTATGGAAATACTCCTTCAGGATATAAGAAAGCCAAAAAAAATCAAAAACGACAATTTTCTGATATTTTTTCTAAGAACTTCTGGATGAGTAAACTACAAGAGAAAGATGGAAGAACATCTTTGTTGTTTTGAAGGGAATTACTTTTATAGATGATGAACAGTTTTCTTTATTTAGAAATTGTTTTTCTTAACCGCGTTTCATGTAAATAAAAACTGCAAAATACACTTTATTTTATTTTTTATTTTTTTAAATTTGTGATTAAATAAATAAAATAAAATTTATCATTAGAAAATTTCACACTTGCTCGTGGCTCAAGTGCCATCTTTGACATTAAATATTGTTTTATGAAATTTTGGATTCCCTTCAAAATATCCCTCGCTCCAAACATCTTATATATATATATATATATATAAGCAAAGCAGTTTGCATTATATGGAAGCCAATTGTAGCAAGCATTTGGCAGTTAATATGGAAGCAATGTAAAGCCTTTAAAATGACAAGTAATGAGACGACAATAATTAAATTCTTAGGTACGGTTGTAAGAAGAGTAATGTGTAATTGAAACAAATTGTAAAGAAAATAAGTTGTTTTATATATTTGTAGATAAATGTTTTATCAATGATAATATTCTTATTAATTACATTCTTTATCAAGGAATGATGATATTAAATTAAAAATTTAATTAAAATAACAAATACCCAAGCCCATATAATAAGAAAATACTTAATCTATACGCAGAGCTAGGGGCAAATCGGACACAGATACAAAAATACGGAACATCCGAGATAATAAGATAATAAATAAAATCAAATCATTTATAATAAAAGTAAAAAACATAAAATAAAAAAACCTTAATTTTTATTTTAATATAAGAATTAGATTTAAAAATTCAATATAATTAGAAAAAATACATATAACCCAAGACTAAAAATTAAAATATTTAAATTCTTAATTTTAATGATTAGCCTTGACGTAATGGGTTTTAAATTAAAGAAAGATTAAGTAAGAAAGAGGAAAGAAATTCCGTTGAGGAAGAATTGTGAATAATATATTAACTTGACACAGCATAGCTATTATATAGCTTTAACTTGACACAGCATAGCTATTTATATAGCTTTACAGAACTGAAATGCAGAAAATTAGTTAACAGAAACACCAAAAATCTGGAAGATGTTAACAAACAAAACAAATCAAGTATCCCAAACAAATAGGGATTTATTTGACTGAAATAAAGACTAACATGGGTAGTCTTATATACAGAAATTAGGTTGCACAGACACGGGACACGAGATATGGAAATGTATGTGATATGATAATAAATAAACAATCATTTATAATAAACAATAAATATAAAATAAAAAATACATAATTTTTTTATTTCAATATAATTAGTTAAATTTTCAAAATTATTATCGCTATTGAAAAATCTATATCTATCTATGTAATATATAAAAGCAGGGTAATTTGCTTTATATGAAAGCCAAGTGTAAGTAGCACAATTTGCCACTTGACATTTTTTTTGAATTATATAATGACGGATGTTAGAATTCACACAATTTAGCACAATTGTAAGAATTGTAAAAAGATCAGTTATTTTATATTTTTCAAATAATCCCCCTATCAATGTAATATCTATAAAAAAAGATTATCTCTAGCATTTAATTTAATTTATTAATATCAATTTATTTTTTCTTATAAAAGAATTAATAAGTAATCCACATGCTTAAAATGAGTATGAATAAACAATATATTACTATTAAATAAACAATATATAAGCAATTTAAAAAATATAAATTGAAACGTACCGGATACGAAAATTTTGAAAAAAAGTAAGACATCCACACGCTTATGACACGCTACACTAAATAAATAATACATTAATATTTCAAATAAATAAATAATAAATTATAAACATAAAATAAAAAAACTTAATTTCTTATGTCAATGACACAAAAAATATTTAAAAATACTTATTTTTTATTGGTTATATAAAAAATCTTGGTTGATTAGTTTGGTGTATAAAGTAGTCTCATATACCAAGAGCTGAGTTATACGGAAACAGGACACGAAATACAGAACGTACGGGATGCGATAATTTTTAAAAAATGTAGGACATCCACTCGCTTAAAACACACTATACTAAATAAGTAATACATTAATATTTCAAATAAATAAACATAAAATAAAAAACTCTAAATTTCTTATTTCAATGACACAAAAGCAAATTTTAAAAAACACTTTATTTTTATTAGTAATAAAAAAATCTTAATTGATTAGCTTAGTGTATGGAGTAGCTAGCCTCATATACCAGGAGTTAGGTTGTGTTTGTATAAACACAGGATACGAGATACAAGAACGTACGAGATACGATAATTTTAAAAAAAATGTAGGACATCCACACTGTAACATCCCTTCCCGATCCACCCGTAAACCCGAATGAACCAAGCCGCGATGCTACAATCATGTTGACTCTATGTCTTGTCATGCTGATATCTTAATGTATGCTGAATATAATATCATGCTGTTGCTTTCTACATTAGTAAAATATAGGTATGTACTTAATATTTACAAGACATTATACTGGTTTCCAAAATGAAATGGGCCCAACTGTGTGCCATCGCTGTTTTGCTTTCTACAGATTGTAAAATATAGGGTATGTACTTAATATTACTACAAGACATATATCTGGTTCCAAATGATGGGCCCAACTGTGGTGCCCTGTACATGGCCATGGAAGGGATAGACGCATCAAAATATCAAATGAAGTATCTACCTCTGAGACTGGGTCTCCAAGGATGAAACTGCAGGATGAACTGCAGCAGTTGTAAGCTAACTCTCTACGGTCCAGTCTCAAAACCTACGACTTAAACAAGTAACTCGCTGAGCAAATAAAGCTCAGTAGATATCTCAACTTATAAAGAAACAAGTAAGCACATACATATGTAGAAATAAACATGTAAACACATATGGATAACTAAACATGTAAGCACACATATCGTGATACTTTCATTATACTCTGATTGTCGTTCTTGCTGTTTATTATGTTGTATGACTTACGCAATGTTTAGTCCATATAACTAACTGTATGGCTCCATAAGGTTATAGTGAAACCCAAGTGATAAGAAGAACTATATGAAATTGGATGAATACTGTATGACTGGGCTGTCATGGCCCATATATAATCATATCCACTCAATGGCTTGTAGTCGGAGTACCAAATTGTATAGGGTGCAGATCTGCTATCCTGTGTCGCGTTTCTACCTAACCTCAATGGAGCATATTAGCGGTATGTTAATAGTACAAAACAAAGCATATTAACTGCTTCATAAATTCATAAACCATACTGTTTACCTCTATGCTGATAGCCTCGCAAAGCGGGCAACTTGTGTTATGTTAGTTTCACATCATTTGCATGATTGCATTTTGTTTTGATACATTTGCTCATTTGTCTTTTTGTTTTAAAATGATTGTAGGAATACAATTGCATAGAAAAAGAGGTCCAAAAGAGCATCAGAACACAAGTCGTGAGCGCGACATTAAAATTCGCAAGCGCGAGAAGCACACAAGAGAGTCAGAGAGTTTACAGGCAAAATTCGTGAGCGCGACATGAAATTCGCAAGTGCGAGAAGCACACAAGAGAGTTAGAGAGTTTACAGGCATAATTTGTGAGCGCGAGTCGTGTTTTCTAGCTTGCGCAGTGTGTACTATTTTGGTCATATCTCTCAATTTATAACTCCGATTTAGGTGATTCAAAAACCCACGGATAGCTAACACATAGAGGAACAAATAAATCTTCTATACCACTTCCTAATTCCATCATTAAACAGGATCAAAATCAAGATGAAGTTACTGGTCAATTTTCCAGCAAACCTATTCAGCATGAAATCAATATCTACTTCATTTATTCATTTCATCCCATGCTTTCTCACCATTTCCTATTTCCCATTATCAACACAAGCTACACAATTCCTCAATGCAAAGAAAATAAAAGA